GAGCTCCAGGTGACTGTGTACCGCCTGAAGTGGGTGCTTGGGCATGAGTGTTGGGAAATAAACTTGGGTCTCCCTAGAAGAGCAGCAAATGTTCATAATTGCTGAGTCATTGTTCTAGAGCCTCTACACATTGAAAAAAATGTATAAAACATGAACCTATAGCACGATATATTTGTTTGTGGGTCCCCATGTTAGGCCTGTGTCTCCAGCTCCTGCAAGAGCAGGATGCACTTTGAACTGCTGAGCCATCTCCCCATCTCCCATGTAGCTAAGACTTTTTATGTATTTTTTTTACAACAGCTGCTCTTAAAGTGTCTTCGTAATTTTTTAAATGACTAAAATATGTTTATAAAAATTTGACAAGAATTATTTCTCGTGAATGTTTAAAGGCTATAAGTGTCATGAAAATGTCAAATCTTTTACAAGAAGATTGAAAGGTAAAAATAAGGAGCAGTCCTGAAGAACTGTCCCAGAGTCCTGAGGTCTAACCAGTCCAGTTGGGTCTCTTTAGACGGAATGGCTTCTGTCTGCACCAGGAGGCCACGCCTGGCCCGCCAGCAGCTACCGCCTTGAGTACCCAGAAGATGCTGCCTCTGAGAGCCAAGAAGAATTCTGTCTGGAGCACTCCATCTTTGCTCACTGCCTAATTTCGGAACATCTGAATGTGGGATGCAGGACAAGAGATTTGGCTTTTAAATAAAAAGTTACATCTAAGCCAACTCTGCTTTTCATAAACTAAATACCATACGCCATTTTTTTTTCAGTCATCTTTTGAGTTTCACCCACACACCAGCCACAAATTCTGGGCCATGGAGAGGCTGTGGTCAGCATGGTGTCTGGTCAGCTAGCTAAAGGTAACCAGTTAACTTATTGGTGCTGGACTCAAAGCACAAAGCCCACCACAGAGCAACCAAATATTATTGGAAAAGGATTTAGTGTTAAGAGATGGTATGGTATTAAGCAAGAGCTGAAATGTTCTCTGTAAGAATAACTACACCAAGGGCTTGAGAGATGGCTCAGCTGGTTAAGAGTCTTGCCACCAAGTTTGATGACTGATTCCAGTCCCAAATTCCATAGAGTAGAAGGAGAAAACTGATTGTCCTCTGACTTCCACGTGTGTGAACACACACACACACACACACACACACACACACACACACACACACACACATCAAAACCAACCAACCAAACAAACAACAAGCTAAAATGCTGAAGTCGGGTGTTTGCTTGAGCTCTGTGGGATTGACACTTCTTAGTGTGTGGCAGGCTGGGATAAACTGGGACACTAGGAATGTGGAAGCACCACCCCCGGAACCAGGAGTAGGGAATTTGCATGCTCCCCCGCCTCAAGCCAGGACAGTTAGAGTCTCCTGCCCCACCCCGGAAGGATACTGATCTCATTGTCCCTCTGCTTGAGAAGGTCTCGGAGCTTCGTATATTCTTCGCCTTCCAACGGCTCTTGGCATGCCTGGTGTGTGCTTTCAGAGGAGACGGGATTCTTTATGGCGCTCTTGTCATTCAGCAGCTTCTGTAAGTCAGGGGTAAGAGCTTACTGAGCATGCCCACGTTCTAAGTTTCTAGTATACACCGGGCATGCATGTCTGCCCTTATCCTTGTCTTTCCCATTCCCCTCCCCCTTAGCTTCTCTCTCTTCTAAACTGGTAAACATCCTCCTTAAACGGTATCTCCTCTAGACTCCTCTTCCCTTCTTGTCAAGCTATTTAGTCAAATTGAAGCATTCCCTCCCAGAGTGAAGAGGGAGGCCAGTGACACAGGAAGCAAAGAAAGAAGCAAACAAAACTTCCAAGGCACAGGAAGCTCCTGAAATGTACAAAGTTCACAAGGCCCTCCCCCAGGTTAACAAGCCGTAAACAATCACTGAAGGAGACTCTGGGACTGCGGCCTGCAGGCCCAAGGGAGCTTAACCTATGCAGTTTCCCAGTCTTCGCCGTGCTGGGCTGGGACTTTTTAATGACACGTTCCTCGGAGTCACCAAGGCTCTGTAACCTCAATAAACTCATTGGTTTACTCAAATAGGCTTGGCAGAATCATTTCTTTGATCTGTTAGTGCTAAATAGATGATTGTTTATATCTCCACAAGAAAAAGGTACAAAATGCTCCATCATCTCACAGTATCTTCGCAAAGTATGCAAAACTACAAGTGGAAACTGGTGACATTCCCACCCACTTATCACAAAAGCCAAACTTCAGAGGCTGAGGAAAGTTAGTAAATTATTCAGATAAATCAAAATACTGGGAAAAAAAAACCCCTGGAGACAATTATCTTGAAACTGTTTGAAAATGTGTGTGTGCACATTTTTGTGTTCATGTGTGTGTTCACATTTGTGTGTTTCAGCATAGACATATTCTGGGCACAGGACAGAGAGACTCCTGGCAAAGGAATCAGAAGTCTGTGGCCAGGGTTTATTTGTGGAAAAGTTAGATACAATCCCTGCAGCAGCCCAGTAATAGTCACAGCCTGGGGAGACACTCGGGCTGTTTTCTGCACGTGTAAGGCTGGGTCCTGGTGTTTCTAGAGTTGGTCACCAGGAAGAGTTTTTATTGCAGTTGGAGCATGGCAGGACATGGCCGAGACTGGAGGAAACATTGAGATTTACCTTAAAATGATGAAAACAGTGATGGATTTTACGCATATCGGCGCCAACTTCCAGTCTACTCTCTGGATCTTGGTCTTCCAAAAAGGATGCTATTAGTTTTTCCAGCCTAAAAAATACATAATGCATGAGAAGCAAGAATGAGCTGTAAGCCTTAGAAAGCCTGACGGCCTCTCCTGCAAGCAGAACATCTGAAGGACAGGATGTGGGGCCCATGTTTTCTTAGAATTCGTTACTTGATTTGACTGAGAAAATGAAGGGGGAAAGAATATTGATAAAGTGAAATCTGCCATTATGTATTTACTTGACTAATTTCCAGTGAATGTTCACATGCAGGTTTCCATATAAAGACTATTTGAGGGGCTGGAGAGATGACTCAGTGGTTAAGAGCACTCACTGCTTTTCAGAGGCTCTGAGTTGGGTTCCCAGTACTCATGTTTAGTGGTTCATAATCACAGGTAACTCCAGCGTCAGGAGACCCAAAGCCCTCTTCTGGCCTCCGAGGGCACTCCACGCATGGGTGCATTCATGCTTGCCAATGTGCGTGTGCATGTGCGCACACGTCTCTCTCTCTCTCTCTCTCTCTCTCTCTCTCTCTCTCTCTCTCTCTCTCTCTCTCTCTCTCTCTTTCTGTGTATATGTGTGTGTGTGCGTGCACACACACACAGAGAGAGATATACAATTAAAAGCTTTAAAAAGTCATTTGATTTCTATAACCTACTCATTCTAGCCACACTGAGCCTCTTTGCCTCTGTGCCAAGCTGCCACATTGTTAGAGAAAGTAATAAAAATAAACAATTCCTATATCAGTTTTATTGAAAACGCATGATACTCAGCTTCAGCTGGCCCTCAGCAGTGCTCATTTAATCGTTCCTGGTGGACCTATGGTCTCCACAGTGGTTCTTCCCAATCTTCCCATGATCCCCACGTGTGCCACTGAACTCGCCCTGTGGAGCAGTGAGGTGCCTCCACACCAGCCTGAGAAAGCCACGCTGTTGCCACAGACTGCATTCTTTCTTCCTCCCAGCAATAGTCCGTCCTCACCAGGGAGGCTCTCTCCACCTTTATTCCCAACTTGATAACACTCTTCCCTCTTCCCAAGCTAGCCTCTCCCACTGGGCTTCTTCTGATATCTGTATCACTATTCTGCACAGACTCCCTTCTCTCTACTTTCAATGTTTTTCATGTTCTCCCTATTCCAAAAAGCAAAATTAACAAATACCTCCCTTTGGTGAGGATCAGCCAAGCACTATTCCCTGTTGCTCCCAAACTCATTTGCAGTATCGCCGTCCCTGATGCACTCCAGGGTCTGTGAATGTACCTGATCCACCCCATTCTCCAACTGACAGTACCTCATAATAATCACAACAGGTCTGGGACGGTGTCTCAGTCAGTAGAGTGCTTATCAGGTGACCAAGAAGCCTGAATTCAGAACTCCAACATCCATGTAAAAAGTCAAAAGTGGGGGTGCTTGCATGCAAATTCCAGTGTTGGGGAAGTGAAAAGAGGGGGATCCCTGGGGCTTACTGGCTAGTCACTCTAGCAGAAGGGGCAAGTTCCAGGTTCAGTGAGACGCCCTGTGTCAAAATATAAGGTGGAGAATGATAGAGGAAGTTGACAGACATCTATATGCATGCTCATGTGTGTGTGGGCACACACTCCTACATATGTGCATACACATGAACACACACACTCCTACATATGTGCATACACATGAACACACACACTCCTACATATGTGCATACACATGAACACACACACAGTTCTTCAAATGTGTATACACATGAACACACACACACACACTCCTACATATGTGCATACACATGAACACACAGATGACAAAAATAATGAAATAATTCTTGGTGTCCCACCCTCAACATTAGATGCTCAATGCAAATACATAGGTTAGTAAATGGATTCACTGCATGGAATCCATTCCCTTGTGTTGAGTTGGGACCTTAGAAAGGAAAGCAGCAGGCAGAGGGAAGGTGGTCAGTACCTGTGCTCCCAGGCCCAGGAGCAGCCCTTCCATGTCTTCCTAGCATGATGAAAACATGTGCATGCTTTCACTGTCTTTGCAACAGCACACACTTCTCTCCCCTGCTGTCATCAGTGAGCCCACACAGCGGACAATTTCTGTCGCAGAGCACACTTGGGTTTTGTTTGTATTTCTTCCTGCAGCTGTAACACGTGATCGCTGACATTGCCAAGTAAGAGGCAATTTATATTGTAATTCTATTTTCTGATTTTATTTTGCTTTCTTGAGACAGAACCTTCCATCATAACCCAGGATGTCTTCACATTCACTAGGCAGCCCACTCTGACCTCAGACTCATGCCAGCCCCCTGCCTCAGCCTTCTGAGATTATAGGTAGGAGCCATCCGGTCCACCATTATCCTGTAATCTGTAAGGATTTTCTTCAGATGTAGGGCAGTGTCCACTTTCAGGTTCTGTCTTAGTTTATGTGTGTTACTGTGACAAAACACTCTGACAAAAGCAACTCCAGGGAGACAGGGTTATTTTAGAGACTCAAGGTCAAGGCAGTGGAAGCTTGAAGTGGCTGGACCCTGGGGCCGCCTTCTGGAGACAGAAAGAGATGCTCCTGCTGCTGCTCGACTCCAGGAGCCCCGCACAGGGAACGGTGGGTCCTCCCACACCAGCTACTGCAGTCGAGGTGATTCCCCTCAGGCATGTGAAGGGAGGGGCCCACCTCCCAGGTGGCTATGGCGTCTGCCAGCTTGACAACCCTCTCCATCGCTCTATTTGTTGACTTTCTTTGCTGTGGAACAGAGCTTCAACTGCCAGACACACAGAGAAGTCTATTTACGATACATAGTTTCTCTTCTGTGGCTATGACAAGATGCCCTGACAAAGTCCACGTTTGGGAGGAAGGGTTTTTTTTTTCAGCTCCCAGTTTCAGAGGGCTACAGTGCATTATGGCAGCCAAGGCAGGGTAACGGGAAGCTGAGGCCTGCTGACCTGGTGGCCAGGAAGTTGACTGATCAATCCTACTGCACATACACACAGAAAGCAGAGAATGAAATCAGGAGGTAGAGCCAAGCTCCAAACCCTCAAAGCACACCCACACACCTTCTCCAGCAGGTTCCACCTCCTAAGGGCTCCACAACCTTCCCAAAGAGCAGCACTAATGGGACCAAGTGTTCAAAGACATGAGCATGCAGGAGATCTTCAATCTACACGATACAAAGACATGAGCATGCAGGAGACCTTCAATCTACAAGATACAAAGACTTAATTTTTTTCTATAACACAATCCTGAAATATATTCCCATGAACAAAGTCCCAAAGTCAACCCCCTCCCCACCTCCTGATCCATCCAGACTCTCTAACTCAGGTCCGTGTCAGGCACTCGACACTTCGAGCTCCTCTCCTGCCGTGGGCGCCAGAGGGGGAGGCTTCAGTGGTGCGGAAGACATCCCAAATGCAGAGTTTTCTCTGAGACCGATCTCAGGATTGTGTCCTCTCCATCTCCTCAGAAGCCCTGTCACATGGGGCCTCAAATGCAAAGCTTCTTGGGGCACTCACTGATTTGGAACAGCAAATTCAAAAAGTTGAAATTAAAATCCAGGACAGGTTTGCCCCACAAGTGATGGTCTTTTTGTGGGACTACATGTGTATTATCATATATTTCCACTATGGAATTAAATAATGCTTTTTCAGATAGATTTTATTTTACTTTTTAGGGACAGGGTCTCCAGGCTGCCCTTGAACTGACCATGTAGCTGAGGAAGACCTGGAATTTACAATCTTCCTGCCTCTTCCTCCCAAGTGTTAGGATTATAGGTGTGTGCTAGCTACCACATCCAGCTTATTGAAATATGTTTTAAGTAAGACCAAACTCAAAGCATTGGAGATTGATATTGCAAGCACTTTGATAATGCAACTGATGTAGGTTCTTGAAAGGTCTAAAACTCAAGTTTGCTGTTTGTAATTCCAGGGTTTCACAGGGACAGTATCTTTGAAGGTGTGGCCACCTTGCTGTGATCAAACATTACTACTTCAGTAGGTTTAGAGAAGTGGTAATGTTTAGGGAAGCTTAGGGCTTAGAACAAATGGAGAAGAGAGCAGAGAGCCGGCTGGAGGGGTGCTGTGGAGACATGCCTGCAGGCATTCCTCTCCAGGCCCCTAGGGCTGCAGGAGGACAGCCTGGCGCTTCTCACAGCCAGGAGGCCAAGCCGGTGTGTCTGACCTAAAAGTGGGGGTTGATATTCTAGCCATGCATACGAAAGAGCAGGTTGGCACCAGTATCAGTCAATGTGCTGAAAAGTACCCAGCTGAAGGGGGAAACCCCAGGGCAGCATCCAGTGGAAAGCCTGGCTTCAGGGCCAGGAGACTGAGCCTCAGGTGGGACTGCTCTAGACAGTGGCTGGGGAAATGCAGCCATGGAGGCCAGAACTGGACTGGCCCAAGCTGTGAGCAGCAGGTTATCCGGCTCATGCCTTCTGAGAAGCTGGCTGGAGATGATCTCCTGGCCATCAGGCCCTCTGGGTACCAGCCTGCAGTTGTTCATCCCAAAGGATCTCTGTGGTTAAGAACTGCCTGCTTACCTGCAGGGTGTGAGCAGGTTCACTGAGGTGCTGATGTTGAACAAGAGGCATGCAGCTAGCTGCCTTTACCTGCTGTTTCTGTCCCTCAGCCTCTACCCAAGCCTGCTCTGGTCCAGCCTCAGCAAACCTCATGCCTGAGTCTCCAGATGGCCACCCGACCCCTGGTCCTGGCTGCTCTCTACATCTGGTCACTACTGTTGTGGAATATTAGTTGAAGATGTGTTATATTCATTTACACTGTAGAATATTTGTTTAATGATGCAAAGGTATGTTGCATTCTTTTATGTTGCAGTTGTTTAACTCTGTGAATCTGTGTTACTTTGCCTGCCTAAAACATCTGATTGGCCTAATAAAGAGCTGAATGGCCAATAGCTAAGCAGTAGAGGGAAAGGCAGGGCTGGGAGGCAGAGAGAATAAATAGAAGAAGAAAAAGAGAAGAGGGAGGAGTGAGAAAAGAAGGAGAGGAGGACGCCAGGGGCCAGCCACCCAGCTACACAGCCAGCCATGGAGTAAGAAGTAAAGAAAGGAATATAGAATAGAG